ATTATTATAGATAGGGATTCAGTGAAAGCCATCAATGAGTCGATTGTCAATAGATTTGGAGACTATAATTACGACTGCGAAGTCAGATATAAAGTAAGATTGATATGAATTGAATTTAAAAACATTTAAATTTTTATTAATACAATTATATGAAAGTCTGGAACCAATGGTACGATTGTCACCGACTGTTCCGGTGGTATAGGAAAGAACATAACGACTCAATACAATCCGAAAGCTTTGATATTATCGGGAAATGACGACTATTTGCTCCTAATGTTGAGCCGATTTGAGCCACGGATCAGATGTTATAACGTAAAAGACAAGAAACTAATTGATGGCAATGACTGTTACGATAAGTTTAAACCCTCTCCCGAGGAGTTGTTTAAGACGATCCCTCAGTCGTGGTTTGACTCAATCCGTGGAATCGTTCCCAAAAAAACTAACGAAATCTTTGTTTTAGTCCTTTTTTATGACATCGACGGACAGCCCATGTATTGCATGAAACCCAAAAGTGACTACAATTACACACATGTATTGGTTATCAAAATGATTATAAAACACTTGTTTTATTGTCTTTTCTCTCATTTATAGTGCAAATCAACCGATGATTTTAAACCAGTTTTCAGCGAATGTGTGTATATAATGGATATCATTATCTGGTTTAGCGTTATATTCATTGGACTCATTATACTATTTGCTGTATTACTCGTAATTTACTGCATATATTATCCACAGATTAACGCATTAATGACTAGAGGATTAAGTAATATGTTTAAATCACAGCTAAATTGTAGTTAATAAACACATGATATATTCATAGCTCGGGAGCCGTCGACTATACTTACCGTTTCGAGTGAATGGGAGGACAACATAAACCCCAATAAACCTTTGAAAGCGTCTAAAGTTTCAAAAACAAAACGATCAAAAAAGTCAAATATCTCTCAAAAAACCTCTCATAAAAAGCATTGAATTTATTGAACATTTATTTTAGTTAAAGTTTACCTTATATTCACTTTTTTTACTATTGATTAATAAATTGTTACGTTTTTATTGATTTGATATTAAATATTAAACATATTAATTAGCAATAAATTATATCCTATATGTAGAGGCATTGAAACAATTGTTATTTGAATTAAATCTAAATGTGTTCACTAATTTAATCTAAACTAAATTTAGCGCAAAATAATTACAACGATTTATAGAATCTGTTTTAAAACAATTTTATTTCAAGGAATTTAAAAATATTTTTCATAATTAATAAGAAAGCAATAAAAATACATATTAAGTTAAAATGTTTTAAGAGTTATATGACAACGTTGTATCTGTGCAATATCGTATATCAAGGTAGTTTTCATGCAATTATTTAATAAAAGTTTTGTAAAGTGTACTAATCGTAATATTTAATTGATTAAAATATCAAATTGTGCATTATATTTTACCAAGTTTAGTATTACAATAATTGTATATTCATATTATTGTAATTATTTGATAAAAGTCTTTGAATAGCAATAAATATATTTTGAATGGTATTCACATCAATATCTGTGAAACTAATCAATAGTTTTATTATAAATGTTTTTAAATGCCATGAATTTTGTCGTTTCCTTAACTATCGGTAAGTATTGACTAAATTATTTTAAAATATTAATAACAATAATTGAAAAATACATAAAAATCTAATTGAAGTGGTAGTAATAGGAGTGAGTGATGGCATTCACACTGTTATCGGAAACTACCCTAACGTCACGGATAGTGACTGCGGAGTAAGTCGGGAATCGAGACTTTTGAACGACAAGTGCTTCACTTATCACAAAACCTCAGGACTCAGTCGTATAGCCAATGGTAGGGATACCGAAGCGGGGGAGACATCATATGCCGTTTATATTGAGATAATACTATATTCACCTAGTAATCAGTAAGTACAAATTACAGCCACATTTATCACTCATATTATTGTTTTTTGTAGTATAATTCGATATTAATATTATAATTTACTGCATATTACAATTAAAGCCTCAATTCTTCGGTACGAATTCATACCATTAGACTTAGCGGTCACTAATATATTTATTTTCGTAATTTCTCCCGAAAAGTATACTTCTTTTTCAAATGACACCAAAATCTGTGTCATTATAAAAACAACAATTTTAAACATTAAATAAATATCGAACATGAAAATTGTTGATTAAATTCTATATATTATTTCAATTTATCTTTACAAATGTATACACATTTTAAATTTTACAAAGATTATAGAAAAATTCATTAGCTACATTTAATAATTAAATTTATTTATTTTTATTAGCAATTTTGTTCTTAACTTTGGCCAGTTTTTAAATCCCGCTTATTATTTACAATATAATTGTGTAGTTATTCCCAAAATTCAAACCCTCTAATTATAATGATAATAAAAATTATATTGAAAGATTGCATAATATACAATATGTGTTACTTTAAAGTATATAACTACTGTAGTCTTTAATTATACTATTGTTTCCATTTGAAATCCCGGAAATTTGTTCTTGGTTATTTTTCTGTAAGAAATAGTTAATATATTTAAAAGAAATTTTGTGAGATGAATAAGTATTTATCGGAGTTTAATTTTATGTAATGATATAATTTTTATGTCTATTAATTGAGAAATGGCGGACATCTAAAGACAATGATGTCTAAAGTTGCTTTGGCACATTTATTTAATAAGTATAACCATTAATTTCTAGAATATTGACTAAAATTATATCAAATTAGAAAATTTCTAATAAATAAAATCTTTATTTATATTTAATTTGAAAAATTAATAATAGTTAACACACTTAAAGACACCTAAATTACAATCAAATAATTATAAATTTTATTATAAAAATTTTTGTCCAAAAATATTTTTTCAATGTTAAACTGCATTGAACTTTACATTGATTCACTAAAAGTGCCAAAAGTAATTTAGACATCATTGTCTTTAGATGTCCACCATTTCTCAACCAATAGGCATAAAAATTATATCATTACATAAAATTAAACTCCGATAAATACTTATGACGTGGAAACTGAACCCTTGTCTCAGACCACGCTTTTCCCTACACTTTAGACACAGTCTACTCACTATTCTGTAACTTTCTATTAGTTCAGGGATTATTCCCTCACTACTGTATATGGAAAATCCCTGACTAAACACTCTGTACTGTCTGTATATAAGACTCGGCCTAATGTAGAGTCGAGAGTAGTATTGTTTCTGATTTGTTTGAATAAACATTGTGTCGATCCTAAGCCTGTATTTGCTTTGGGTCTCCGATAAGTCCGGAGACCAGGAGTAAGCCCTGACGGCCCAACAGGCAGTAGGACCCGACGCACGCCATGACGGCCCACCTTTCAAGACATCACGCGGTCTATGGACCGCATATGGACCCCATATGGACCGCAAGACGAGCACCGAGTGCTAAATGGATCCGTTTGCTCGTCATATACTTATTCATCTCACAAAATTTCTTTTAAATACATTGATTATTTCTTATAGAAAAGTAACCAAGAACAAATTTCCGGGATTTCAAATGGAAACAATTCTATACTAATTCAATTAATATTCAATACTAATTATAATTATAATATTAGGTATATTACCACTCGTGCTTGTGCCGGGGCAGTTATTAATCAATGGTGGATAATTACCGCCGGTCATTGCGTAAAGTGAGTCAACTGTACATTAAAACGAGAGTTGTTTGCTATATTAACTGCTTATACATTTTAATCTACCTAATTTTGAACCTAGTTGCAACGCGTCGAAGTACACGTGTCCGTTCACATTCAATATACGAGTCGGTGTTGTGGACTCGGACTCAACGCGTGGGCACAACTGCGGCGCCGCGCGGGTATACCCGCACCCGGAATACAAACCGGCCGAATGGGAAGTTAAGCCCGATATTGCACTCATCCGCGTAAACACTTCCATACCGTTTACCGATCGACTGGCCATTACTAACGTATGTCTGCCGGCCAGAGGTTTGGTCAACACGGGGTCGGAGTACGCGGTGACCACCGGATGGGGTGTGACGGGTGAAGGCCGTTTGTCGCCCAGAATTCGTCAAATGGGTTGGGTTCGCATTGTGGCCACCGATCCAAACCTATGGCCCACTAATCACACGGAACTTATATTTGGTCACATCACGCCACTCACCTCAGGTACGGCCATCTGCGCCGTGAGTACATGTTTTTGATGGTTAATAAACGCCGGGGGAGTGTGGGGTGGAGGGGTAATTAGAAGGGCGGTGGTTGGCTAACTTTTATTTTAGAATAAGAGGGCTTTTAAAAGAGTTTTAGAGGATAGGGAACATTTAATTATACTGTAGATATAACTTATTATAATTGTACTTATAGATATTACAAATAAAAGACACAAGTTTTTATTTTGATTTATCTTAAAAGTATAATGCTTAAAACAGGTCCAAATAGAGGACTGTTTTCTAAAAATAAGTAGACAGTTGGTCACCGTATATATAAAGTTGAGATTTGTTATAATAGATATTGTGATTTGTAGGGCGATTCCGGGGGACCGTTAGTGCAGTACGTGTCGGGTCGGGCGGTACTGATTGGTGTGACCGCAGGACCGTTTTATTTTAACAGGTCACTTTATAATAACGATTGTGCCGTTAATTATCCACATTCTGTGATGGGTTGGACCCGAGTCTCCATTTATATCGATTGGATTATTGGTGTCATTAATAATGAAACACATTCTGGACGTTAGGAATAGGAATCCACGGCTCACTTCATATATTAGTATTGATTAGTATTTTTTAACAACAAATATCTATGAATATGAATAGACATTTCTTACGATAATTATTTTGTTAGTTATAGCACAATTAATTTAGTTACATATATTTAATTGGATTTATAAGCACTAGTTTTAAACTCTTTTCTTTATATCGTTGAATGTATTTCAAAATCAATAATATTATGTTTAAAATATTAAGAAGTTTTATTAAAAATATTTAGAGTTAATTCAAATAATATTTGAAGTAATTTATTGATAATAAATTCGTTAAAAAATTTATATTTAATTTATATAAAATAAAACAAAATTACAATTTATTAATCAATCGTAAAAGAAGTGAATGTAATGTGAAATATAAATAAATGTTCAATAAATTCAATGCATTTAATGAGAAGTTTTTTGAGATATATTTGACTTTTTTAGTCCTTTTGTTTTCGAAACTTTCGATTCATTCATAGATTTATCGGTAGTTTTGTTTGGAGTCCTTTGACTCCATTCACTCGAAACGGTTACTATAGACGATCCCTCTCTGGCTGTGAATACATAACATATTTATTAATTACAATTTAGTTACAATTTAAACATAGGTTTCTATAATTACTCAATGCTTTATTAGTTAAGACTTTATTTTGTGAACAAAATTTCCAGTAAATACACAGTAAGAGAGCCGACAGTATAATGAGTCCAATGAATATAACAATAAACCAGATAATGATTTCCATTAGACTCGTTAGCAAACATTCACTAAAAACTGGTTTATAATCTTTCATTGAATTGCACTATAAATGTGAGGAAAGAGTAAAACAACAGTTTTATAATTAATTAGATAACAAATACATATTTATATTGATAATTGTGGTCAGCCTTTGGCTTCAGACAATACATGGGCTGTCCGTCGATGTCATAGAAAATGACAAAAACATTGAAATCAGTGGTCTCTTTGTAAACGAGTCCACGGATTGAGTCAAACGCCTTGCGAGGGATCAAACCGAGAATATACTCGAGTCCACTCTCGTTGTAACACTTCTGGCCATCGATGAGTATCTTCTCCACCGCATCATAACATCTGATCCGTGGCTCTGATTGACTCAACAATAAGAACAAATCATTTCCCCCTATTATCAGAGCTTTCGGGTCGTATTGAGTCGTTGTGTCCACTCCTACACTACCGGAACAGTCGGTGACAATCGTACCATTGGTTTCAGACTTTAAATAATCACAATAACTATAATAAATATGTTTTAAATGCAATTCATATCACTATTACTTCATATCTGACTTCGCAGTCGAAATCAATTTTTCCAAATCTATTGACAATCGACTCATTGATGGCTTTCACTGAATTCCTACCTATAATAATGCCATCGGTTTGTGAAATGATATGAAAATCCCATTCAAAACCTTTTGAATACATAACAGATCTGTTTTGTGGATATGAATGAAATACACAAAAACCATTGGTTTTGATTTGTGAACAAAAGTCAAAACATCCGACGGATGACAGACTTGTAATCAATACTAGAATTGATAACATTTTGCATAGCAAAAACACTTGAGACTAGAATTCAATCGATGGTTAGATTTGAGAATCAGTTATGAATGAGATTTTTGAATGTAACGTGAAATATATTATAATTACAGTTATGTAATTATGTTAACAGTAATTATTATAATAAATATTTTGCTAGTTTGTAAAACATTTCTTAATATCTCGTTCTTTCCATTCAAATATGTTTTTGGTATACAATTACTTTTTTCTCATTTATTATGCAATAAATATTATTAAAATATTTTTATTTGTAACTTAATGTTTTGATTACAGAACAAACTATAAAAATAAAAATTTTACAAAATAATTTTAAATTGAAAAACCTATTGAAATATAAACTTAAATATCCAACACTTGAATGCTTTAAAAGCGATTTAAATGTCGACACTTCTCGACAAAACTTTAGTTGATTTTAAAGTTGTATCCGATTTTTTGC